AGTTTTACTTCCTTTATTATTATTGACCCTTAGTAAGTGTCAAAGTCGGCCATCTCGTCTCTATCTCTTCTATATTAGGCTTGATATTTATTGGGTACACGTTATTTACGTACTCATACTACACTTGCTGCACTTTTTGTGCAGGACCTGAGACGTGTGCTATAGTTGGACCTATCGGCGCGCACCCGCGTTATCCGGAGGCTTAGTGGTGAGCTGCTTTCTGAGCCGTTCTGCAGCAACTAGTGCCTCTTCCTGAATTTTTATTCTGTCTATTTCATTCCAGACAGTATTTATAATTTTTGTATAATCTACTAGATGCTCATACACTTATGACACCAGGTCTTGGCACACACATTAGTAGAATTTGAAATTGGTATTATTTTCTGAAATTTAACCTAATTGGTATCTTTTATATTCTCTTTAATATTGCTAGTAAAAGAATAAAAGTTACTTAGAAAATTATTTTAAAAATAATTGATATATGTTTAATTTATTTGTTGACTTGCCTAGCTGTAGCGTTGGGCGCCATCACGACCTATATGAGAAATTGGGTCATGATAATTAGACAATATTTAAAATTTTGTATAATCTACTGGATGCTCATACACTTGTGACACCAGGTTTTGGCACACACACTAGTAGAATTGTAGATTTAATTATTTTAGTTGGGATTTAATTTATCTTATTTTCTCATATCTTCTTAAGTTTTGAAATTTCGAGGAGTTTGATTATTCGGATAATTTTTAAAGAAATGAATATATTTTTAAATCATTAGTTTACTTGCCTAGCTGGGATGTTGGGTGCCATCACGACCTATAGGTGAGTTTGGGTCGTGACCGTGCGAGGATACTTATATTTTTAAATTTATTTAAAAATAAATAAATAAAATTATTAAATAATACTCAAAATATTATTAATATATTTAAATGATGAAAGAGATCCGAGTAAGAGAATAATAGTGTAAAAATACATTAAATTTCAAGAATAAAAAAATTATACATTTATTGATGATTATTAAAAGTGTAATAACCAAGACATTAAGTCAATTTATAAGCTAATAAAAAATAACATTACATTATAACAATATTAAGTAACAAATAATGCAAAAATTATAAGCAAGGAACAAAAAAGAGAAAACAAATATGTCTAGAAATGTAGAAGGATAAGACTTATTTGAATTTGAAATAAAAAATAAAGTGTTAGTAAGAATTTTGTTAAAATAATATAATTTAATGTGCTCAAATAAGACAGATCACAACGTTACATGTTTAGTATTCTTTAATATTGACCGTAAAATATAATACAAGGGTCAAAATTAAGGGGTTGCATTATTAAAATATAAAAAAAAGAAAACAGGTTATCCGCTATGAGATTTTAAAAATGGTTTCGTGTCCTGCTTCTTAATTAAAATCAAATAATTATTTATAATTTCTATATAGATGGTTTAATTTTAAGGTTTACACATAATCCAAATACCCCAAATTGTAATTTATTACACATAATCCAAATACCCCAAATTGTAATTTGATAAGGTTTATGTACGTACATCTCGCGGGTAATAATACTAGTATTCTCTAATACTAAATATTTTTCACGAAGAATATTTACTATGAAAGCATTTTACGTTAGACTGAACAGTGAACACATGTTGAAAGAATTGTTTGGGAAGCATATATGCTATCCTAAAGTTCTAGATATCTAGCTAAGAAAAAATAATAAAATAATGGGAAGTAATATGAGAAACGGTCATTCCGCACTAGTTTTTGATGTTGTATAGGGCAACATAATCTTATGGAGTCAGGAAAAAATCTAAAATAATTAAAACGAACTAAAATAAAGCCACTCTAAAGTCTAAATAGAAGAACAAAATTGAGAAAGTGAATAATTAATGTGTAATTGCAGAAAACATGCACCCATCTCTATGAAGATTTCAATAACCTAAAAAACACGGTTGTATATGTTCTAATAATAGTAGAATGAAAAAATAACTCATGGCCACTTAAATTTGTACTTTTGCTGATTGAACGTGGTCTTCGCTCTTTATGACATGGATAACACGTTATATACTAAGCTTTTTATTCTTTGATATGTGTAAAATGTGGGGCCTACTTTTAAAAAAACACAATTTACCATATTTTAAATTTATTTTCTTTTCTTTTCTTTTCATCTCTTCCTCTTCACCATAGCAATAGTGAACCTTCTAAGACATAACCTTCAATCATCAGTGAGAACCACAAATTGAATACAATAATAGTGCTTAGGAGGTGTCCAAACTGGCATAACAACTTCGAGAATGCGGGGAAGGGTCACCATAAATGAAAATGAGATATGTGGGTTCATCAACGCCATCACCAAACAGTGGCTAATATTTCTGGTGGAGTTGGCCGGAAGAACGATCTACAGAGAACAAACTTACTTTTCTATAAATTTAATTTCAGATGTTTGAGAAGTGTTTGTAGTGTATTTGGGTGTTATCTAAGAGAGGTGAACAGAGATAAGTAGACGCTGGTGAAGTATTTTAGGCCATAAGCTCCCTCTTTTATGGTAAAATATGATGGTGGTCGTGTGCTGATTTTTGTGGTGGTGCTTGCCGATTATAGTCGTCTGCGATGAAGGTTCTGGTGGTCTTAGATTTAAGGTGATTTTTAATGGTCAAGATTGAAAATATAGGTTGTTGTGGTAGAATTTTTTCTTATAAAACTTTTCCGATGGTCAGGAGGATGATGTAATGGTATTGATTTGATGGAGTTGTGGTGGTTTTTTAAAGGGTAAGATTGGATAGGAGAGGTTTGTGGACGGAAATGACGCCGGCGGGGAAAGAGCAAAAATTCAGGAAAGGGGAAAAAGGAGGATAAGGGAAAGAAAAGTCGAGCAGGGGCGTAGGGGTAGGGAGTAGATTCTTTTCCTTTTCCTTCTTTAGGAGTTTTTTCTTTCTTTTTTAATCTTTTCTTTTGTAATTGATGTTTTCTTTTCCCATTTTTTAGTATTTTTTCCACCAAAATTCTATTCTAACGCGCTTTATCAGTGTGATTGTCACACACTTAGGCCACGTCAACCCGTTGTTGCCACATAAGTATGGTAAACGGTCAAACGTGTTTATTTGTATTCAATCCATCAAGTTGATGTATTAAAATGGGAAAGATATAAGTTTTTTTATCGGGTTCGCAAACTGATACAAGTTTAAGTAGCCACGAGGCCATTTTGCCTAGTAAAAACTATGCTTGTTTTAAACATAAGGAGGTAAGGTTAGCATATTTTTCTCCTTCATGTAATTTTTTCGGTTGGAGCTATTAATTGAAAAACGGGAAAAGGTTCAAATTTGACTCATTGAACAACTTGTTCTTTATTAAACTTTTCCCCTTAAAACCTAATGAAGTTCAAACTCGAGGGTAATTTTAAGCAGAAGTTAAAAAAACTTAGGGTAATTTTTTTTAAAGAATTTGAATATGTGAAATCCATCCATTTCATATCGGAGCTCAATTTAAAAATGAGAAAATTACACATAAATACAACTCATACACATATATTGCAACTAAATGGCCCGTATTTAACTTTATAGAGTTGTAAGTTGTAACCCAAAAATAATAGGCTAAAATTCAATATTCAACTCCAAATAGGTTCTCGAAATTACCTTTTAATTTATTCTTATAAAAAATACTCAAGATTTTAATCTTATATTCAAATTAGTAATTGTGACTCAAACATTATTTCAACAAACCAAATCTATTTTGGGGGTAAAAATTAGATTTTTAAGGTAATCCGTCATTGTTGAACAAGCTTAAATAAGTGATTTTCAATTTCAAATCTGGCTTTATGAGAAATTTAGAGTGGATGTTTGTTTAAACTTGTTAGAAATAGTATAAGGGGGCTGTATACAAAATTTGAAGTCATTTAATAAAGATTTGGACAGGTCCACCATTGTTGAACAAGCTTAAATAAATGAGTTTAGTATTCGACTCCGGTCTTGTGAGAAATTTGGAGTTGGGTGTTAGTTAGACTTGTTAGAAATAGTATAAGGAGATTGTATATAAAATTTGAAGTCATTTTAATGGAGATTTGGTCTGGCTTTGAACAAGAATTGCAACTGAAAATCGTGAAAGAAGTTCGTCTACATATACTTGTATAAAGGTGTATAATAGTTTATAAGAGGTGTTTATACACCCATATACACTATTATACAAAATTATACATCATTATACAAAAACTAACTTCGTCTTCTTCCTTGATCCTCTTCTGAAATTTAACTTAAATCTCAAATCTACTGCAAAGGACTTCACATTTAAGTTTTGAATTCCTCTTGATATTTTCAATCAATTGGAGCAACACTCAATCCAAACAACTAACCAACTCTAAAAACCCAAATCTAAAATTTAACTCAAAGATTAAAAAGAGAAATTAAAAAACTAAATATTCTTAACAAAAATATTCTTAGTTTTAGCAGTAAGCTTTTCTTGTAGTACCATCAAACATAATGGGTAACTTGACCAACTACATTTAACTCCATAGCTTTTAGAAGTAGTGGTGTAAGAAAACAGATTTTGAAATAGGGTGTGTTAGCTATGCTTTTACTAGTCCTTTCAAAATATGAACAATATAGGCTAGGTCGGGAAAAATCAGGGGCGGATCCACCCTATTATACGTGGGTTCCCGTGAACCTAGTAGCTTTTGCATATACCCTGTATATGTATTAAATAATTAACTAAATATTCATAAATATTTAGTTGTGAACCCAGTTAGTTATTGTATATTTACTTAAGGTTGATATATAAACCCATAAACTTTAAATTCTGGATCTAACTCTAAGTAAAACTTAAAAATATGAATCATTTTTAGTTATGATGTGAAGTCATATGTATTTTCTTGTAATTGTAGTAGTCTTTAGTATAAATGCAGGAATGAATCAAAAATTTATTCGATGGCAAAATTAAGCAATTTCTGATTTGTATAAGGCCAAAACTGACCTTCTCAAATAAAATAACCCATTCAATGAGGAAGGTTCCTTTTTTATTTTTGAAAACACTCTCTCTCTCTCTCACGCACACAGAGCAGCATTGAGTGAGTCTACCGGCGACGAAAGAACAATGCGGAGGAGAGTGGTTTCGTCGCAGCAGCTCCAATATGTGCAAAGACTCCACAAATGGGGCGCAGCATTTCGGTCCCTCAACTCTTCTCCCTCTCCCTCCACTACGCCGTCGTTTCAGCAAACCACTACCCTCTTCTCCCATTCCGGTAATCCCCTTTATCCCTCTTTATCTCTACATTTATTATTACTTTGAATTGAAACTGAATTGACCCTTGAAATGAGCACAGAGTTTCTATCAAAGAACAAGAGAGTTGAAGACTTAATGCCAATTGCCACTGGGCATGAGCGTGAAGAACTTGAGGCTGAGCTTCAGGTATATATATCCACGTATGTTTAGACCAGGACTAATCAGCCTGTTTGGTTTGGATTTTATCTGGTTCAACCTGTATTCTTGATTAATTAGATTTTAGGTCTTATTTGGGTTGCATTCTGAGAATAATTTTGATTAGGTAACTGATTATTATAATGTTTTGATTAAGATTTTTTCAGCTTTATAAGCGGATAAGTCATTTTTCATTAAACGTGAGTTTTATGTACAGTAAATGAAGATGATTTTGTTGATGGAAGTGGTGGTTTAATTGAAAATACTGATTAAGCGAGCTAAAAGAATCCAAACCTCAAATTTATAATTGGAATCAGTATGTAGAATTGAACACTTCTATTATTTTGATTGAACTGATTTTTCTTTTTATCGAGTATTGATATTTATTAATTTATGAAATGACGTTCTGACTAATTGGGTTTTGAATTTAGGGGAGAGATATTTTGGAGATGGATTATCCAGTTGGACCATTTGGTACCAAGGTTAGTATTTGTTCAACCTTTGTTTTACATCTTGAAGTAATTCTTATATTGGATATTAATATTTGTGGTGTTCTGAGAGGTTAAGATTAAGAACACAAGATATGAAGGTTTCTTGTAGTTGATTAACATATGTGCAACTGTTGAACTGTAGGTTACATGTGCAAGATTATTTAGTGTGTGTGTTATGACAGGTAAGGTTGATCTGCAGACCAATTAGGTGTTGGTTAGACTAGACTGAGTAACCCAATTCAGTTGTGACCTCTTGAGTTCAATTGAGCACTTTGAAATGGGACTGCATAAACCCAGAGGATTAGCGCATGTGGTTGAGTGATTGTGGCTACCTTAAATTGGAGAATACTAAGCTTGACTGCCTTTAAAGGAAAATTCATTTAAGATACTTGACTTTGTCAAACAGGTTTATATTTTATTCATCTATAAAAGTCCACAACTCTTTAATATTGGTGACTTTGATTAGCTGAATACATATTTCACTTGCCCCGAGTTAACTCGTACTTAATTCTATTTTTTGGACTTTAACAAAAGCAGTATATATTTCCGAGACAAATTCTGTGGTGAAATTCCTTCCAGTGAAAAGTGAAGTATGCAGGAGCTCATTCTTTAACTTCACTGCTTTTTTGTTTCCCCTTTAATGGGCCTTAGGGGGTGCAAATCCGAATAAGTCGAGGCCCCAATAGGGGTATGGGTGGAAAACCAGGAAAAAATAATCAGAAGATAATGATCAATATGTATGTTGAACATTTTGATTACGCTCATCATATATGAATCTGTCGCCTATGATCTCTTTCTTGCTTGAGATACTGTATTTTTTGGGATGTGAATCTAACGTCTCTTCTCCACAGCACATGTGATTCCAAAAACTGATTATGCTTCTGTCACAAACCAAGCCCATGGAACGTATTGTTCGCTTTGGTCCTAGGCCCGCACGGATTTGCATTTCGGGCTACTAGCCCGTTTGGATAGGCTTATTTCACGTGCTTTTAAGCCAAAATAGTTTTTAAGCCATTTTGTAGAATTCCTAACTTATGGCTTAAAATCTATTTTGGCTTAAAAGTCACTTAAAATAAGCCAATCCAAACGGGCTCTACGCCGCATCGACAGGGGTGGATCTATGGGTATAGGGACGGATCACGTGAACCCATGCTCCTCTCCCTAGGCTATGTGCATCATTGGTTATTTTTGGTAGATGTATTTATATTTTAATGTGTGCCCCATGCTCAACAGAGCTCTTTGGTGCACTGGCTAATGTGTGCCCCTTTGACTCCTAGGTTGAGGGATCGAAACTCATGCCCTTTTTTTGAATTAAATTTTTTTTTACTTTCTTTCTTTCTTTCTTTTCTATTTCTTTATTTTTTCCATTTGTTCTTTTCTCGTTTAANCCCCTTTTGTTCTATTCTTTTGTGTTTACTCTTTGAGATTTTTTTAATTTAATTTCAATTTTCCTATTTTTATTTGGGTTCTTTTGTTTGCCTTTTCTTTCTTTTCTTTTTATGGTTTATTCATGAAGTTTCAAAACTCAAAACAAATCGAGATTCTAATTTAGTGTTGAATCTCTATAGTTTCAAGTTTCCTCTTTTCTTCATTTACCATTCTGCATTTGAGTTGTATAATTTTGCTACATAAAACTAAGATATTTGTACCTATAAATAATAATGTCGCTATTGATCATTTTCAATGTAGGAAAACTATTCAAGGACTGATGAAAATAAAATAATTTTTTTTTGTGATAGTGATATAAACTATAGCTTACTCGTTCAAGTTCTAGCATGGTAATAAAATCAAATCAAACGACGAATTAAAACGGGTAACTAACATTGTGTAAGAATAAAAAAAAGAAGTAATAGTGCACCCATCCTCTTGAAATCATGGATACGCCTCTGCGCATCGAGCCCCAAAAGCGCGCGTACCATGTGAGCTTGTGTCATGCCTTATAAAGGTCTTCACCTTCCTCTCCCATTCCGATATGGGATTCGCCTAAGGTGATATGTGCACCATTTCTTCAGAAGCTTGTTAGCCTAGTTTAAAATTCCGAGATTTAGAACTACAACTCTTAAACGAGACAATAAAGAAATTAAGGTGCAACTAAATAGCTTTAAAGTGCAGCTAGATAGCTTGACGGAATCAATGGGGCATGTGACCAAATTGGTTGAAGGTTTGGTACTTCAAAACCAGCTACCAAATCCGCCACAACGCCTACAACCTCCACCACCAAATAATATACCCGTGCTACCGCCACATATACCACTTCGATATCCACTAATTCAACTACGTAGAGCAAGATATATTGAGCAAGTTGAAGAGGTTGAAGTTGACCAAAACATAAGAGTACCAAGGTACCATGCCTAATATGATAGATAATCAAGGGAAGGAAAATGACGAAATTGATGAAGACCAATATCAAAGAAGCGAGGACCAAGCATTGGATCCGCAAATTGAGGAGTTACTACCGAAGTTTTATGATGATCCATTAGAGAACCCAACTATGTGTGTCATTGACTTTCCGCCTTTCAGAGATGCTCAACACAATATTAACTTGATTGTTGACTCTATTGTTCCAAACAAGGCAACATATTGCATTAATTCTAAAGTCCATAAAAATATGCTAGAACAAGAGGAAAAATTATCTACAAAGAAGTGGATAAAGGAGAGTTTGAGGTATATCGGAGAAACAAAATGTCTTCACCTCATAAATATATATGGCCATCATCAAAGTGACTGTTGGTGTTCAAGTATAGCAATTGATGCAGTCTCAAGAAGAGCGTTGATCTATATGTTTAATTCAAAGCTTGACATAGAGTTAGTTAAGTTTCATGAAGTTCTGACACCAATAACTTCATATTGTAAGCTGAAGTTTGCGAGTCTACATAGAAAGATTACATGGAAAAGGTTTGGTAGAAAGTTAAAAGTTAGAAAGTGGGATTTAGTTCGACCACATGCTAAATTTGCTTACAACATGAATAAGCTCTATGATAAGCTAGCAAAGTGTAACTTGAAACTTGGTGAGTGTTGGGTCCTCACTCTTTGTTATAGCAAATTTTGCGCCATTTATGGAAGCTGTTAGACTCGAGGACGAGTCTTTTTCAACTAGGGGAGAATGATGCAAGATCAACAAGGCCAAGAATCCAAGTAATTCAAGAAGTCCAAGAATCCGTTCAAGATTAAAATTTCTTTTCCGTAAAGATTAGGATTTCTTACTTCTTGTTTCCTAGTAATTTAATTCTTGTTTTAGTAGGATTATATTTGTAGTTCTAGTCAAACTAGGATTGTTAGTTGGTAGTCCATTCCTACTAGGATTCCTTTTCCTATTTTAGTTAGGATATATTTTCTTAGCCTTATTCTTATTCTAGTTTAATTAGGATTAGTTTTTCTTAATCTTATTAATTTTACTCATTGTAAGGCCTATTTAAAGGGTTCAATATGCTGAAAATAAACATCGGTGATTAGTTTTTCTCAGCTCTTGCTTCAAAAACGTAATTTATCTTTTATTTCATTCTTCCTCCTTTATTCAACGCTTCTTGCAGTTTTGCGGGATTAAAGAACGAGTGAGTAAGGTTCTTTTCATCTTACATTCTTCTCTCGTGAGTACAGGGATAGGAAGAAGGATCTGCATATGGTATTTATTAACTTGGAGAAAGCGTATGACAAGGTCCCTAGGGAGGTGCTCTGGAGATGTCGGGAGGCAAAGGGTGTGCCGGCAGCTTACATTACAGCGATCAAGGACATGTATGATGGAGCTAAGACTAGGGTTAGGACTGTGGGAGGCGACTCATAGCATTTTTCGGTTGTTATGGGGTTACACCAAGGATCTGCGCTTAGCTCGTTCTTATTTGACTTGGTGATGGATGCACCAACACACCATATTCAAGGGGAAGTGCCATGGTGTATGTTATTTGCTGATGACATGGTTCTGATTGATGAGATGCGAGGCGGTGTCAATGAGAGGTTGGAGGTTTGGAGACAGGCCCTCGAGTCTAAGGGTTTCTAGTTGAGCAGGACTAATACAAAGTACCTGGAGTGTGATTTATCTTTTATTTCATTCTTCCTCCTTTATTCAACGCATCTTGCAATTTTGCGGGATTAAAGAACGAGTGGGTAAGGTTCTTTTCATCTTACATTCTTCTCTCGTGAGTACAGGGATATGAAGAAGGATCTGCACATGGTGTTTATTAACTTGAAGAAAGCATATGACAAGGTCCCTAGGGAGGTGCTCTGGAGATGTCTGGAGGCAAAGGATGTGCCGGTAGCTTACATTAGAGCGATCAAGGACATGTATGATGGAGCTAAGACTAGGGTTAGGACTGTGGGAGGCGATTCAGAGCATTTTCCGGTTGTTATGGGGTTACACCAAGAATATACGCTTAGCCCGTTCTTATTTGCCTCGGTGATGGATGCACTAACATACCATATTCAAGGGGAAGTGCATGGTGTATGTTATTTGCTGATGGCATAGTTTTGATTGATGAGACGCGAGGCGACGTCAACGAGAGGTTGGAGGTTTGGAGACAGGCCCTCAAGTCTAAGGGTTTCAAGTTGAGCAGGACTAAGACATAGTTCCTGGAGTGTAAGTTCAGCGCTGGGTCGAGGGAATTAGGCATGGACGTGAGGCTTGGATCACAGGTCATCCCCAAGAAAAGTAGTTTCAAGTACCTTGGGTCGGTTATACAGGGATCCCCAAGAAAAGTAGTTTCAAGTACCTTGAGTCGGTTATACAGGGATACGGAGAGATCGACGAGGACGTCACTCACTGTATAAGGGTGGGGTAGATGAAATAGAGGCTAGCATCTTTAGTCTGGTGTGACAAGAAAGTACCACCGATACTCAAAGCTAAGTTTTATAGAGCGGTGGTTAGACCGGCCAAATTTGTATTGGACAGTGTTGGCCGGTTAAGAACCCTCATATCCAAAAGATGAAGGTAGCAGAGATAAGGATGTTGAGGTGGATGTGCCGGCACACTAGGATGTATAAGATTAAGAATGAAGATA